CACTATTGGCATATGGAAATGTTATTGTTTTCTATACATTGATATTGTATCCTGAAACCTGAATTCATTTATCAAGTCTAAGAGGTTTTGTGGTGGACTCTTTAGGGTTTTCTAGACATAAGATCATATTATCAATGAACAGAAACAACCTGACTTCCTCTTTTCCTATTTGGATGCTATTTATTTTTTTCTCAATTGCTCTGGCAAGCACTGCCAGTGCTATGTTGAGTAAGAGTGGTGAAAGTGCACATCCTTGTCTTACTTTAGTTCTTAAGGGGAATGCCTTCAGCACTTCCTGCTTAAGTATGCTATTTGCTGTGGGTTTAGCACATATGGCTTTTATTAATTTGAAGTATGTTCCTTCAATGTCTAGTTTGTTGAGGATTTCTATCATGAAGGAATGCTGAGTTTTATTGAATACTTTTTCTGCATCTATTGAGATGATCATACGGTTTTTGTCCTTACTTCTGATTATGTGATGTATCATATTTACTGATCTGCGTATGTTCAACCATTCTACATCCCTGGTATAAAACCCACTTGAAAATGAGGCATTATATATTTGATGCACTGTTGAATTTGATTTGCTATTTTTTTTTGAGGATTTTTTTCCTCTATATTCATTAGGGATTTGGTTTGTAATTTTTTCTTTGTTGTGTCATTTGGTATCAGGGTGATGCTGGCCTTGTAGAATGAACTGGGGAGAAGTCTCTCCTTAATTTTTTTTTTTTTTTGAGACAGTCTTACTTTTTTGTCCTTGGTAGAGTGCTGTTGCATCACAGCTCACAGCAACCTCCAACTCTTGGGCTTAAGCAATTCTCTTGCCTCAGGCTCCCGAGTAGCTGGGACTACAGGCGCCCACCACAACGCCTGGCCATTCTTTTGTTGAAGTTTGGCTGGATGGGGTTTGAACCTGTCACCCTTGGTATATGGGGTCGGCGCCCTACCCACTGAGCCACAGGTGCTGCCCTCTCCTAATTTTTTGAGAATAGGTTCACGAAGACTGGTATTGGTTCTTTGTATGTTCGGTAGAATGTAGCTGTGAATCCATCTCGTTCTGGGCTTTTTGTAGGGAGTTTTAAAAATTACTAACTTGGGTGGCGCCTGTGGCTCAGTGAGTAGGTCGCTGGCCCCATATACCGAGGGTGGTGGGCTCGAACCTAGCCCAGCCAAACTGCAACAAAAAAATAGCTGGGTGTTGTGGCGGGCGCCTGTAGTCCCAGCTACTTAGGAAGCTGAGGCAAGAGAATCGCCTAAACCCAAGAGCTGGAGGTTGCTGTGAACTGTGATGCCACAGCATTCTACCAAGGGCGACAAAGTGAGACTCTGTCTCTAAAAAAAAAAAAAAATTACTAACTCAATCTCACTACTCATTGTGGGTCTGTTTAAGATTTCTGTTTCTCTTGGTTCAATCTTAGAAAGTTGTATGTTTCTAGGAATTTATCCATCATCTCTAAGTTTTTTAGTTTGTGGGCATTTTGTTGTTCCTAAGACTCTCTTATTTTTTGTATTTCTGTGGTATCAACTGTAATGTCTCCTTTCTTATTTCTGATTTTTTTTAACTTGGACCTTCTCTCCTCTTCATTAGTCTAGTGAGTGTTTCATCAATTTTGTTTACCTTTTCAAAGAACCATCTTTTTTCATTTTGGTGATCCTTTGCTTTTTTTTCAGGGGGTGGGTCTTTATTTCATTTAGTTCTGTTCTGATCATTATTTCTTTTCATCTGTAACTCTAGGTTTGGTTTGTTCATGTATTTCTAGTTCCTTGAGGTACAAAGTTTATTTGTGCTCTTTCTACATTTTGATGTAGGTATTTAATGCTATAAATTTCCCTTTTGCTTAGCTTTTGCTGTATTCAACAGATTTGGGCTATGTTTCATTTTCAGTCATTTCAAAAAAAAATTTTTTTTTTTTTTGAGACAGAGTCTCTGTCACCCTAGCTAGAGTTCTGTAGTGTCATAGCTCACAGCAACATCAAACTCTTGGGCTCAAGCGATCCTCATGCCTCAGCCTCCATGCCTGGCAGACTTTTCTATTCTATTCTAGTAAAAATGGGGGTCTTGGTTCTTACTCAGGCTGGTCTTGAACTCCTGAGCTCAAGCAATTCACCCATTTCAGCTTCCCAGGGTGCTAGGATTATAGGCTTCAGCCACTACACCTGGCTCAAAAATTTTCTATTTCTTTGTTGACCCAGAGTCATTTAGGAACATGTTGTTTAATTTCTATGTATTTTCATAGTTTCTGAAGTTCCTGTTTGTATTGATTTCTAGGATTATTCCACTGTGGTCTGAGAAGATACTTTTGTTTTTATCTTTAGAGACAGAGTCTCACTTTGTAACCCTCGGTAGAGTGCTGTGGTGTCACAGCTCTCAGCAACCCCCAGCTCTTGGGCTTAGGCAACTCTCTTGCCTCAGCCTTCCAAGTAGCTGGGACTACAGGTGTCCACCACAATGCCTGGGTATTTTTGTTGTTGTTGCAGTTTGGCTGGGGTAGACTGGAACCCGCCACCCTCGGTATATGGGGCCAGCGCTCTACTCACTGAGTCACAGCCACCACCCAAGATACTTTATTTTTGAAACTTTGTTCTTACTTTGTGCCCTAATACGTAGTCTGTCTTGGAGAATGTTCTTGTGTTGGTAAACAGAATTTATATTTTCGTGTTTTGGTTAGAATGTCCTGCAAATGTCTGTTAAGTGTCCATTTGATCTAAAGTGGGGTGCTGAAGTCCCCCATGATTATTGTATTGTTATCTTTTTAGGTCTAATAATGTTTGTTTTGTGAATGTAGAAGCTCCAATATTGTGTACATATATTTATGCTTGTTATATCCTCTTGTTGAATTGATCTCTTTATCAATATATGATAATCTTGTCTTTTTTTTTTTTTACTGTTTTTGATTTAAACTCTGTTTTATCTGATGTAAGTATCGCTACTTATGCTCACTTTTGGTTTGTGTTTTCATGGAATATTTTCTTCCACCCATTTAAAAATTTCAGTCTATATGTGGCTTTATTGGCAAAGTATGTTTCTTATAGGCATCTGTATTTGGATCATGTTTTTTAAAAAATTCAGTCGACCAATCTGTACCTTTTGAGTGGAGGATTTAGCCCATTTATGTTTAAGGTTAATATAGCTATGTGAGGCTTTATTCTTGTCATATTCTTTTCTTTTCTTTTTGTTGCTGGGGATTCATTGAGGGTACAAATAACGAGATTCCACTGATTGCCTGTTAGGTAAATGTATTTATTTATTTATTTTTTTGAGAGAGAGTCTCATTGTGTTGCCCTCGGTAGAGTGCCATGCGTCACAGCTCACAGCAACCTCTAACTCAGGCGTCCTCAAACTATGGGCCTGCAGACCACATGCAGCCGGCCTAGGACATTTATCCGGCCCGCCAGGCATTTTTGTTGCCACTACCTGTCCTGCTTAGCTGCCGACTCGTCCCGGGGCCCGCAGTCTGGCCCTGTAACAGTTTGAGGGACCCTAAACTGGCCCCCTGTTTAAAAAGTTTGAGGACCCCTGCTAACTCCTGGGCTTAAGTGATTCTCTTGCCTCAGCCTCCCAAGTAGCTGGGACTGCCAGCTCCTGCCACCACACCCGGCTATTTTTGTTGTTGTTGTTGTCATTGCAGTTGTCATTGTTGTTTAGCAGGCCTGTGTCAGATTCAAATCTGCCAGCCTTGGTGTACGTGGCTGGTGCCCTAACAACTGAGCTACAGGTGCTGAGGCTATTCTTTTTGGTTACATAGATAAACTGTATAGTGCCGATGTCTGAGACTACTCTTCACTTGAATAGTGTACATTGCACCCAATAGGTTGTTTCTATCACCCCCTCCCAACCTTTCTCCATTGTGCGCCTCCAATGCCCACTGTATCACTCTGTATGTCCCTGCTTACCCACAGCTCAGCTCCCACTTATAATTGAGAACATGCAGTATTTGGTTTTCCATTCCTGGGTTACTTCATGTGGGATAATGGCTTCTAGTTCTATTGAAGCTGTTTCAAAATATAGCATTTCATTCTTTGTTATGGCTGAGTAGTACACGTTGCATATATACCTCATTTTCTCTGTTCCTCAGATTGGCAGTTAGGTTGATTCCATATCTTTGCAATTGTGAGTTATGCTGTGATAAATGTATGATTGCAGGTGTCTTCTTGATATAATAACTTATTTTCTTGGATAAATACCCAGTAGCAGGACTGTTGGCTCTAATGTAGATTTCCTTTGGTTCTTAGAGAAACTTCCATATTGTTTTCCATAGACGTTGTACTAATTTACATTCCTACCAACAGTATATAATCATTCTCTTTTCACCATATCTGTGCCAACATCTACTGTTTTTTCACTTTTTAATAATTGGCCATTCTGACTGGGATAAGGTGGTATCTCATTGTGGTTTTAGCTTTCATTTTCCTGATGATTAGTTAGTGATGTTAAGCATTTTTTCTTATGTTCATTGAGAATTTGTATCTCTTCTTTTGAAAAATGTTCATGTCATTTGCATACTTTGTATTGGGATTAGCTCACCATTAGGAATACAAAATATTCTATTATTCTTTGCTTTAGCCAAAAGACCTATAAAAGTCATAGACAGATCCTTGAATATCTTCGTTCCAAGACTTAAAAAAATTAAAAATAATATGAATAAAGATAGAAATGTGAAATTTATTTATGTAGAGACAGAATCTCACTTAGTCACCCTGGTTAGAGTGCTGTGGCATCACGGCTCACAGCAACCTCAGACTCTTGGGCTCAAGCAAGTCTCTTGCCTCAGCCTCCCTAGCAGCTGGGACTACAGATGACTCCCACAATGCCTGCCTAGTTTTTCTATTTGTTTTGTTTTGTTTTGTTTTGGGATCATTTCTTAATTTCTAGTTCTTCCTTCTTATCTTCTGAACTAGAACTGTATTATTTCCCTATTATAAGAACATGGGATAATATATAATATCCATTTATAACATAGAACAAACGTCAGAAATATTTTATTTTATTTCTTTTTTACCTCATTTCCTGTTGACATGACTGCGACCACTGGAAACTTATTAACTTCAACTTCTGTGACACCTACAGTTGCCAGAAGACCAATCTCTGAGGGGCCCATGTGGGTTCCTTTGGCCAAAACGCATTCCCCTCTTTTAATGTCATGGCCAATCGGTCTGAAATCAAAGCAGAACCATAAGGAGTATGACTAACATTTTCTCAACTCAGAGGGTAACTTTTGTGTCAAAGAAGAACACTCAAGAAGAGAAAAAAGTCAAGGAATGAGGAACTAGTAAAATAATGAAATTAGATTCCAAAAACTCTAGCTTTTTTAAATTTAAAAGTTAAATTGTACAACAGAAGAAAAAGGATTTGTATATATAAATGTTAAACAGGAATATGAGGTCTGACAATTAAGTTCATAAGCTCACCACTGTGTGCTTACATTGGCAGCACTGTACTGCTTGGTAAGGTTTCATAACCTTGGTATAACAGTGTGTCACAGCTGTGTTGGGGTCATGTGTGGCGGTGTCTTGCTAAGTGATGTCATTATCGTTGCTGCATGTTTTTGTGTGTTGCTGAGAGAACATCAGAGCTTGAAAGAGAGCAACCAACAAACATAATAGTTCTTGTTAAACTTGGTTAGAGTGGAAGTGAAATCAGGAGCATCTTAGTCCAAGTTTATAGAAATAATACCATGAAGAAAACAGCAGTGTAGAAATAGATTAAACATTTTTCTGAGGGGAGAGAAAGCATCACTGCTGAAGAAAGGTCAGGGCAGCCACTAACAAGTAGAACTGATGAAACCTGGCAAAAATTTATCAAACTGTGCATGACAATTGTCGGCTTACAATTGTGAGAAGCAATTGAGAAGCACAGCAGACCAACTAAACATCGATAAAGAAACAGGAAAGTCTTTACCAGAAATCTTCAGCATGAGAAAGGTGAGGCTCTTACTTTATGACAATGCATCAGCTCACATGGCACTGTCTATGAGGGAGTTTTTGACCAGTAAACAAATAACTGTATTGGAACACCAGTCCTACTCATCTGATCTGCCCCCAATCATTTTCTTTATGCAAAGATAAAGGAAATAATAAAAGGAAGACAATTTGATAACATTTAGGACATCAAGAGTAATACAATAACAGCCCTGATGGCCGTTCCAGAAAAAAAGAGTTCCAAAATGGCTTTGAAGGGTGGACCAGGCACTGATGTTAGTGCACAGCTTCCCAAGGGGAGTACTTCTAAGGTGATCATAGTGATACTCAGCAATGAGGTATGTAGGACTTTTTCTGGGATGAGTTCACGAACTTAATTGCCAGACCTTATATAGTACTTCATTATTTTACAAACTGCTTTATATTATATTACAGTTAAAAATGCCAACTGCAAACTTTGATAAAAGGCAAGAACTTGTATGATAAGAGGTTTATGGCTGGTTAGCTTATGGCAAAGAGAAAAATGCTATGAGGTTAGAGTTACAGGTATAATTTCCACTTGGATCACTTAGGTTGGTTCTGATCCTGTGGCCACAGAGATGGCATGTCGCCATAGGGATGGGAGATTGTAGCTTTTTTACAAAGGAATGCAGCGCAAATTAGCATTAATGGAATCAGGGTTGACATATTCCATAATAAAAAAAAATAATACAGTATAAGGTACACAAACTATTTGTGGTAGTATAATAGCCTTATCTTTGTATATAAGGGACAGCACATTATTTCATTAATACTGGTAGGTAGTAGAGGATGTGTTGGCAGCTAATTGTATAAATACCCAATTCTGGCATGATCTTAGTTAATATCAAATTCTGGGTTATCTAGGGGTTGGAGTTGGGTAATTCTGGATTATCTAGAGCTAGAATTAATTTTGGATTATGTAGACTCATGATTTTATACTTTTTTCACATTGCTTTTGACTATTTCATTCACTTTCACCATCTTCATTAAAAAGTAGGTAGGGCAGATACGGGATATAGAATTCAGAACACTTTGCTTCTTGGTAAGGCCTTAAAAGCTAATGGCTAATTGCCACAGGGCAGAACTATAATAGTCAGGCTTTCCCTGAGTCCATGATCATGTAGAAGCAAAAATTGGCCTTAAATTCTATATATTTTGAACTTGCCTGATATCTTGGCCTGGACGAGCTTGCACCAGAATTCGCACTTCAAGTTCTTCAGTCCCCTATAATAAGAGCAGGTCATGTAATTTCAAACTGAACAATTTTTTTTTTTTTTTTTGAGACAGAGCCTTAAGCTATCCCCCTGGATAGAGTGCTGTGGCAACCTCTAACTCCTGGGCTCAAGCGAGTCTCCTGCCTCCGCCTCCCAAGTAGCTAGGACCACAGGCGCCCGCCACAATGCCCAGCCATTTTTTGGTTACAGCCGTCATTGTTTTTTGGTGGGCCTGGGCTGGATTCAAACCCGCCACCTTAGGTGTATGTGGCTGGCGCCTTAGCCACTTGAGCCACAGGCACCGAGCCACAAACTGAACAATTTAATAGAATTTCTGATTGCTTTTATCATCAAATAGGCCCAAAATATATACAAATATAGGCAAACAGAAAACAATTTACTAAACCTTTGAAACACTATGAATTTCTAGCACAGGTTTCTAAAAACTTTGGTTTTGTGTCAAATCCTAGTATTCAAATTATGTGGATCAAAACCATTACCTTATTATACAAATTGAAATTTTTAAACTTGAACATTTTTACATGAAAATAATATATAGATCTCTCAAGATGCTATTAACCATTTGATTATATAAAATATTGTATACCTTTGACTCTATCTTTATTTATATATTTTAAGAATAAAATATATTGTATTAATAATAGTCACAAAGTTGTAAAATACATTTCTTCAATGTATCCTTCCTATATAAGTACAATTTTGTACAATTGATAAAATATTGCCATCCTCTTTACCCAGATGCCCCAGCCCTGATAATCACAATTGTACTCTACTTCTAAGAGATCAACTTTTTTAGATCCCTTGAGATAATGTAGCATTTGTCTTTCTGTGTCGACACTTAACATGTCTTCTAGGTTCATACATGTGGGAAATGATAGAACTTTTTTTCTTTGTTTACGGCTGAGCTGTAGCCTAAAGTGTGTTTACCAAATATTAAATTCTTCTTTTTGTTTTTTTTTTTTGAGACAGAGTCTCAAGCTGTCACCTGGAGTAGAGTCCTGTGATGTCATAGCTCACAGCAACCTCAAACTCGGGCTTCAGCGATTCTCCTGACTCAGCCTCCCAAGTAGCTGAACCTACAGGTGCCCACCACAGCACCTGGCTATGTTTTTTTTGTTGCAGTTGTCATTTTTTAGCTGGCTCAGCCTTGGTGTATGTGGCTGGTGCTTGGCTGACTGTGCTACAAGTGCTGCCTAAGTATTGAATTCTTAAGGAATACACACACACACACACACACGCGCACACGCACGCACACGCATGCACGCGCACGCACGCACACAGAGCTACCCTAATAGATAAACTGAATATGCATGAAGGGAACCTCTCTAATTTGTTCCCCTGAATAATGGGTTAAATACCATGCCAAGGTTCCCAAATACCTGCAGAAATATTAGTGAAGGACTTACAGTTTACCTGGTAGTAGGTTTCGGTAAATTAATGGTGACCATCAATTTTACAGGTAGGTATGAACAATATTGTGACACTTGAACTGTATTTCATCATCTGGCAGAGTCTGTGGAAGCATATGTTCTGGATTTCAATGGTTTCCTGGCTTGTCTGATGCCAATAAATCCGCTTGGACAGTTTTAACAGAAGGCAATGTGATCTGTTTGCCAAGAGTTGAATTTTATAAGCCCTACATGTGATAAGGTGATTAAGAAAATCTCCGGATCAAGAAAATCAGTTCTCTCTCAGAATGGCCAGATTTCACTATCTACTATGCCTGGAAGACTGTATGTTTATTTTTAACCTCAGTTTTAAAAATACAAAATAACTTAAACTTATTCACAAAACAAATAAGATATGTAGTCATTACAACCTCAGTTGAATCTATTCTACTTTTATTAGTGGCTGATACTGTGATCTCAACAGTTGCCACTAGTTTCACTGAGATAAAGACCTGCTTTGACTCAAAAAGATCCCAGAGATTTTTATTTCATAAAATGAATGAAGGGGAAATGGCTATAAATTTAATATTTCCAGATTATTATTTGGTGGCATGACTTTTCCCTGAAATACATAAAAGCAGAGGTTTTACAGAAAAGATCATTTAGTTCAAATGCTTGACTTAGTGGAACACTGAAGAACTTGTCTATGTCTTCTTTGTTAAATTCTTCTCTATTAATTTTGAGTTTCATGAGTTACTTCACATTTTATCAGATGCTAGTCCAAATGACGAATTTTATAGCTAGAAAGCATGTCACTGTTAATATCTCTGCTTTTCTATTTTGAGATAGTTTCTTTTCTTGTTTGCCTGTGAAATTTCTTGGGTCAAATATGCTTCAAACTGTGCTATAACAATAGTAATGATTACAAAAATCCCTCCTGTAAGAAAAGATTTTCAAGTTTAAGGTAATTAATTTCTTTTCTTTCTTTTTTTTTTTTTTTTTTTTTTGAGAGTTTTACTTTTTGTAGCCCTGGGTAGAAACTGTGGCATCACAGCTCATAGCAACCTCAAACTCTTTGGCTTAAGTGATTCTCTTGCCTCAGCCTCTCAAGTAGCTGGAACTACAGGTGCCCTCTACAATGCCTGTTTTTTTTTGGTCTGTTTGTCTGTTTCACAGGCTGGGGTTGGATTCAAACCCACCAGCCCCCGTGCATGTGGCCGGCACCCTAACTACTGAGCTACACATGCCTAGCCAAGCTTAAGGTAATTTCTTATTTACTGGAGACCTATACAATGTATGATCCCAACACAAACAAAAAACCTGGGTTAATCTTATAAACGTTGCAGAACATGGGTGTCACGTGATACTGCTGTAGAAACAATGGTGTGGGAAGACCTGCTGATCACGTACATCATCTGATTCCCTGATAAGTTCAGTATCTTCCACTTGTACTACTGCATCAGCACCGCAGGGGATTGGAGCACCTGTTGTAACCCGCATGACTTGTCCTGGCATTACTGTCTGAGTTGGCTGGAAATACAAACATGAAAAAAACAGTGATTTACTTTGGTGCTACAGGATATGTAAAATTTTTTTAGAAATTAAATATAAGAGAAAGTCTCACAGTTTATTCATTTTGGGTCTGTGTGATAAAGCTACCCGCAAATAGTTACACTCACACTCAAGAGGCTTTAAATAGATTTAGGCTGACTTAATACATATAGTTTAAGGTAATGACTATTAGATGTCCTTCTTGGTAGCTTGCTTTCCTTTTCCAGAACTGCCACCTCTATTTGCCACTATTATCTCTTACTTAAATCATGTGACTATTCTTAATATATGTAAAGTGATTTAACGTTTATAAGAAAAGAATGCAAGGCAATATGATACTATGAATGACAATTATGAAAAACTAGCATCTTTATAAGAAGATTAGAACTTCATATTCTTCAAGTTCTAATATTTGAGAAATATAATAATTTACTGACCAAACTTTTTGGTTAAATAAAGGCAAGCCAGAAGCCAGAAACATAAGTTTTTTTTTTTTAAATAAAGAAACAGGGTCTTTCTCTTTTGCTCAGGCTAGGGCACAGTGGCATTATCATAGCTCATTGCAACCTCTAACTCCTAGGCTCAAGCAATCCTCTTGTGTCAGCCTCTTGTGACAGGTGTGAGTCATTGCAACAGACATCAGAAATATCATTTTAATTATTGCTTTTAAAAATCTTTCTAAAACATATTAGCTCATATATCAATTAATAAGTCTAGCAAATGTCATTAAATAATTTCAAAATGATTCCATTGTCTGTAATGATCTGGGTTAAACATATTTTTTTCAAAATGAGAATCAAGAATTTCATTTTCTGAACTCTCATAAGGGTGATATAAGAGACAGTATATTGGTATATGCTGCTACCTTCTTGCAGCACAGGGCAAAGCATATTTCTGTAAGATTCATTTGATAGATCTGATCTGGTCTCGGCAGAGTCACTTGTCAGGGGTCAAGGTCAGAGTTGGGAAAAAGAATGCTTCAAATTCCCCCCAAAAGAAAATCCTGAGACAATATTATTTCTCCAATTACAAAAAGACACCTTTCCCAAGATGTCTGCTTTGTAAGCATACTCATGTGTTGCATAATGACATTTTGGTCAGTGACAGACTTCTTTCTGTTTAGATATGTTTACATAAATACTTACTATTGTGTTACAATTGCTTACACTATCCAGTAACATGCTGTGCAATAGGCCATGCCCTCTAGGCTTGTGTAAGTACATTCCATGATGTTTGCACAATGACAAAATCATCTAAAGACACACTTCTCAGAACGTATATCTATTAAGTGATGCATGACTGTATTTAAAACTTAAGTCACTACAATGTAAATATACTTGCCACTACAAATTGTATGCTTAAAAATTAAGATGGTACATTTAATGTTGTACATATTTTTTGCTGCCAAATAAAATAAAATAAAATAACCACACACACACACCCCTTAGAGAATAGTTAAGAAAAAATACCCACCATAATGTACTTTGTGAAGTACAAGCAATGTAAAAGTATAAATTTAAATTATCAGAAAAGCTTTAAAAATCTTTTTTCTACTATATTACCACTAACAATACTGCCAATAACTGTTTACTGAACCCCAAATCTCTTATACTAGGTATAGTTTTAAGTGCATTATATATTCTAGAATATAAGTACTACAAAGACAAATATTTATTTTCTGTTGCCTCTCCAGATCACATCCTCATGCTCTGTCCTGTGCTGTGGCTCTATGCTATAGACCTCTATGGACAGGTTCCTATCACTCTGGTTTCTGACTAGGTTCAGCCAATGGAAAGGACCAACAGGAGATTAGATGGAAGCAGGTGGGAGAAAGAAGGGGGGGTTTTATTTCCCTTGCTCTTTTATTGCTAGACTATAGTTTGGAGATGGTTTAGGCATTGGCTGTTGAGGGCCACCACAGCTCCTACTGGGTGGTCCTCTCCCCTACCTATGATTATTCCCAGGTTGAGGTACCATTGTTTCCTTTGCCTCTTCTGACCAAGACAGGGTAATGGAATGTCACTGTTGCTAGTGCTGAGGTGCTTCAAATTCTTGTATTGGTGTCCCTTAGCCTGGTCCAGATTTTGGAAATAGTCCCTATATTAATCTTCTTCAGCCATCTTCTTCCTATACAAATTTTTCTACCATTGCAAGGCCTAGAAAAGTGTCTGGCACACACCTTTACAAGATGAGCAGCTGTGCAGCCAAGGGTTGAGTTGATATTATGCCCTGTGTCCCAGGGAAACAGAGCACTGGTTGAGCTGAGACACCCTGCCCTACAGACAATCGACTATGGTACCCTGCTTCCCTGAAGCTGGACTAGCCCCCTAGATTCTGGGCTGTGGAGATAGATACTCCTCTCTCTGGGGAGTGGAGTTGTAGTTGGGCTCTTCCCTGATACTCCCCGACCTTTTCTTTTCTTGGTTCAACCTTGGTAGGTTATATATGTCTAGGAATGTACCCATTTCTGCTCAGTTTTCTAATTTGTTGACACATAGTACTCTACAAGCATTTGACTGATACCATTAGCTTAACACTTAAAATACTGTATAATATTTGGTTGCTTATACTTAATCTTATCTACTAGATATAAATTCCTGAAGAGTAGTATGCCTTAATTTATTTCTAAACCTAGAACCTACTACCTGCTACATACAGATGCGCTTCATAAATGCTGGGCAGACTCAATTAAAGATTAGATAAGTAGTCTTTGGATAATTGCTATTTTATGGCTTTGTCAAAATAAAAAGGGGGGGGATACTTTAGATGTCCATTCTTTACGGACATAGGTAGATATCAAGAAGTCAAATAACTTATGAAGTTATAACATAAGTTACTTATAGAAAAGAATCAAGCGCAAGAACGGTGCTTATGCCTATAATCCCAGAACATTGGATGGCTGGGAGTAAGGGGAGAATTGCTGGAACCCAAGGAGTATGAGATCAGGCTGGGCAACATAGCAAGGGCTTGTCTCTACAAAAAATAAAAAAGATCATCTGTATACAGAGGCACATGTCTGTAGTCCCAGCTATGTGGGAGGGTGGTGTGGGAGGATCATTAAGCCCAGGAGTTTGAGGTTGCTGTGAGCTATCATCATATCACTATACTCCAGTCTAGGTGACAGAGTGGGTCCCTATATCAGAAAGAAATAAAAATTAAAACTAGTTATTCTTTTTGTCAGAGAAACAGTTATGGGAATTAAAGCTAGCCTGTGTGCAATGTAGACAGGATGTACATCACCGCAGTGCCAGCTATCTTCAGCAATCTGTATATGGGCCTTTTTAATTATAAGATGCTGGAAACGGAGTACAGGGTTACCACCACCGGCACCATCCTTCTAAGTATTTCCTTAATCCTTTTCTATTGTTAATACATATGAAACTACATGTTAAACCAAGGATGAAAAGGTATGGGATGTAGCTTTTGCCAAAACTGCTGCCTTCATTTAAAAATATTACTTATTTTTATTTATTTGACACCTTTATTTTTACATAGCACTTATTAGTACTTGGTAGTTAACAGTTGAGTATCCTATTCCAGGAAGAGAATACCTTAAAGGAGGGCAGAAAGAAGAAAAGTGCTTTCGTCTTCCTTTGGTTCTATTTAATAACGTAGTTGCTCTTCTAACCCACATTTTTTTTTTTTTTTTGCAGTTTTTGGCCAGGGCTGGGTTTGAACCCGCCACCTCCAGCATATGGGGCCAGTGCCTTACTCCTTTGAGCCACAGGCACCACCCTCTAACCCACATTTTAACTCACTGAATTGACAAATGCTGTTTCCTCTTAAATGTAACAATGACCACAATATACTTTCTTCTTTTGTATATAGTATACTTGTAAATTACCAGTCCAAGAATCAATTAAATTTGAATTAGGTAATTTGAATAAGTATCGATATGATATGAGTGAAAAGTTATTTTTTCCACAAAAATTAAATAAATCCTTTTAAAAACCACCATTATAAAAGATGTTAGGAAATGCTGTCAAATTAGGTGTAAGTGAAGCAACTGAAAAAAAAGTATAAAAATATAACAAAAATCTAGATGGATTCTGTACATATAGGCTTTGCAAATGTCCTTAAGTTTTTCTTCACTTGAAAGAAACCCAAACTAAAAATCACAGACAATGCCTTTTGGTTGTGGTTTATATAAGAAAGATCTGACAGAGGCAGGGTGCAGTGGCTCCTGCCTGTAACCCTAGCAATTTGGGAGGCCGAGGCAGGTGGATTTATTAAGTTTAGGAGTTCAAGAACAGCCTGAGCAATAGCAAGAGTCTGTCTCTAAAAATAGCTGGATGTTGTGGCAGGTGCCTTTAGGCCCTGCCACTTGATAGGCTGAGGCAAGAGGATTAGAGTTTGAGGCTGCTTGGAGCTATGATGCCATGGCACTCTACTAGGGGTGACAAAGTGAGACTGTTTTAAAAAAAATAAAGACCTGATAGAAATTCAAATAGTATACTTCCTACAAGAAAAGTTTTGGCTCTCCATTAAATTACTGACAAGTAATTGTTAATGTATTTAAGGTAAATTTATATTTATTTTGAGGATATAAAATGATTTCCCACTTCAATGGATTTTTAATTGAATAGCCAATTATTGCTCTCAAAAGTGTAAGGACTATGTATTGTATTTTCATTATAGTCCATTATTGCTGCTTTTTTTTTTTTTTTTTTGAGACAGAGGCTCAGTCTGTTGCCAAAGCTTGAGTGCCCTGGCATCAGACTAGCTCACAGCAACCTGAAACTTCTGGATTCAAGCATTCTTCCTGCCTCAGCCTCGAGAGTAGCTGGGACAGCACCTAGCTAATTTTTCTATTTTTTAGTAGAGATGGGAGATGGGGACTCACTTTGCCTAGGTTGGTCTCGAACTCCTGAGCTCAAGAGATCCTCTCACCTCAACCTCCCAGAGTGCTGGGATTACAGGTATAAGCTGGCCTATTGCTTCATTTCTTTTTTTTTTTTTTGGAGACAGAGTCTCAAGCTGTCACCCTGGGTACAGTGCCGTAGCATCACAGCTCACAGCAATCTCAAACTCTTGGGCTTAAGTGATTCTCTTGCCTCAGCCCCCCAAGTAGCTGTGACTATAGGTGTCCGCCATGACTCCTGGCTATTTTTAAGTTGTAGTTGTCATTGGTGTTTGGAAGGCCTGGGCTGGATTCGAAGCTGCCAGCTCTGGTGCATGTGGCTGGTGCCCTAGCCACTTGAGCTACAGGCACTGAGCCTGCTTCATTTCTTAATAGAAAAGGCACCGAGCCTGCTTCATTTCTTTTCCTTAGCTAGGTCCCAAATGAGAAAATTAATCTAAATAATTGGCTACACACATTAATTAATCTGCTTCTTCTAAATCTCCTTGTTTGTGACACAAGGAAAAGTCTGAGAAGACCAACTAGAAATTGTAGTCCTATTGAGAACATTTTATTTTATATTGTAAAAAAGAATCATCCACTAACAGAGCTGAAAGTACTTTTAAGGCATGTCTCTGAGATATACCAACATTATATATATTAGTAGGTGTAGACTCTTTAAGGAAAGAATTTTTTGGTTTTCATAGGAGTCATCGTTTCATCTTTTTGGTAGCCTTCTAACTAATCCTTCTCTAAGATTTTTACTATACCAAGAGGAGAAATTTAGACTTAGATGCCCCAAAGTGCATGATGCTAAAATCTTCAGGGCCTTTCAGGTCTATAAATCTCACCTGTTCACCAGCTTGGGATTCCCCAATGATGAAACGATCTCCTGGGCCATCAGCAGCTGTGAGATAGAACAGAAACAAGAGCAAACATCAGTATGGACCTATAGTAAGGAACAAGAATCTTGTATTGGAATTCTAAAACTTGACTCAAATTATTTGATAGGGCTTCAGAGAAGTGGAATATTTTTCTCATCTCCTAGACTTGACAATGGCTTTGTTACTACCACTTTGGTTATTGGTATCCACAACTCACACATACTGATAGAAGAGATATTTTGCCTTTCTTAGCTTCACTGGAGATGGTCTTCCAGTCACTCTAAAATTTCCACATTTGTACTTTTCTAATAAGGAGTTCTCTTAGCCTATCCTCCTACACAAATGCCACCTTATCCATGTTTAATGTGTCCATGCACACGTAAGGATATATGTGGGTGTATCACTACATATTATACATGTATCCTTATTTCCCCATTTTTCTATGATTTTTTTTCTTTTTTTGTGACAGATTCTCATTCATTTGCTCAGGTTAGAGTGTTGTGGCATCAGCCTAGCTCCCAGCAATCTTATACTCCTGGATCCAAACAATCCTCCTGCCTCAGCCTCTTGAGTAGCTTGGACTATAGCTGCCCACTATGATGCCCCACTGATTTTTCTATTTCTATTCTATTTCTTGCTCTTGCTTAGGTTGGTCTTGAACTCCTGAGCTCAAGCAGTCCTCCTACCTGGGCTTCCCAGAATGCTAGGGTTACAGGGATCATCCACTGTGCCAGCCTAATATCATTTTGTTATTTACCTCCCAGGCTGGTCTTCATAATAACCTAATGAAATAGGAAGAACATATATTCTTTTACCCATTTTACAGTTGAATGAAATGAATTATAGAATGAAGGAACTCAGGTAGAAAAAAGGTTAAACATCTGAAATAATTTTTGGTTAGTGGTAGAGCTAGGATTAACACTCGGTCTCTTCATTCCCAGCACAGTATTTTTATTTTTATTTTTGCAGTGATCCATATTTTCCATTGGCTTTATATATTTAATTAATTATTTATTTTGAGACAGTCTCACTAGGTTTCCCGTGGTAGAGTGCCATGGCATCTTAGCTCACAGCAACCTCAAACTCTTGGATTCAGTGATTCTCTTGCCTCAACCTCCCACATAGCTGGGAGTACAGGCGCCCACAACAATACCCAGCTATTTTTTAGACACGGGGTCTCACTCTGGCTCAGGGTGGTCTTGAACCCTTGAGCTCAGGCAATCTGCCCGCCTTGGCCTCCCAAGTGCTGGGATTATAGGTGTGAGCCACTATATCTGATCCAAGCTATTTATTTTTAAATTGTAAAAACAATTTCCAGAGTAGGATGGAATTTTTTTTTTTTTTCTTTTTTGGTGAGCTATTGCAACCAACCTGGAACAAAAATTCTTATACAACTTTTTTTTTTTTCCCCTATAGTGTAATGGTGGCTGGATGAAATATGTTCTTGGAGGCCAGGCACAGTGCTTACGCCTATAATCTCAGCACTCTGGGAGGCCAAGGAAGGTAGATTGAGTAAACTTAGGAATTCCAAGACCAGCCTGAGCAAGAGTGAAACCCAGTCTCCACTAAAATAGAAAAACTAGCAGGGCACCATGGTGGGAGCCTATAGTCCCAGATACTCAGGAGGCTGAAGCAAGAGGATTGCTGAAGTCTAAGAGTTGAGTTTTCTCTGAGCTATGATGCCCTATCATTCTACCCAGGGTGACAGAGTAAGACTCTATATCAAAAAAAAAAAAAAAATCCTAGAAATGTGAGAGAGTTCTCTTTATGTTTAATGTAGCTTTTAGGCCAATACTACTGTCAAGGTAATGTCTTTCTAATTAATGAATTTTATGATCATGGCCATTACCTCTATGTCACCTGCATACAGCAGTTTTGGGGGAAGATATCCAGAAAAGATAATACATTATTTTAAAAATTTTAATTACATTTGCAATCACACTGGTAAGTAATAAAAAAATTTTTCCCTCTTAAAAAGGGCATATGAAATTGTTCCTTTATAAAAACACAAAGTAAGGCGGTGCCTGTGGCTCAGTGAGTAGGGAGCCAGCCCCATATACTGAGGGTGGTGAGTTCGAACCTGGCCCCTGCCAAACTGCAACAACAACAACAGTAATAGCCAGGCATGTGGCGGGCGCCTGTAGTCCCAGTTACTCAGGAGGCTGTGGCAAAAGAATCTCCTAAGCCCAAGAGCTGGAGGTTGCTGTGAGCTGTGATGCTATAACACTCTACTAAGGGTGATGAAATGAGACTCTATTTCTAAAATAAATAAATAAATAAATAAGTAAAAACACAAAGTGGTATTTTTTTCTAAAAGCTTATGTAAAATTCTGTTTATAATGAGTCACTTTTATGCACATGGCTTTGGTTGTTAACCTGATGTCCAGAGGGACAAAAATTAACAGTAAGTCTCTTCTATCAATACGTGTTGTATTTGTGCTTTATAGATATTATCTTGGTTAATCAACTCTTGAATCTCCTGTGTTTTCTGGAATCGTATTATGTTTTCCAGGTCTTTTTTTTTTGTTTTTTTCTTGAGACAGAGTTTTAAGCTGTTGTCCTGGATAGAGTATAGTGGCTTCATCAGAGCTCACGGCAACTTCCTTGGCTCAAGTGATCCTCTGCCTCAGTTTTTCTATTTTTTAGTAGAGACGGGGTCTTGCTCTTGGTCAGGCTGGTATTTTTCAGTTTTCATTTGTAAAAACTAGAAGAGTTTTGCTGCAATGCTATTTTTATTAAGCTACTTTCATTGGTTTTTTTTAAAGAAAAAAGTAAAATAAACACAGAAATTATCACTTGTACAATTATCAACATTTTACCAGTCTTATTTTATCTATCCCCCACTTATTTTTGCAGTCTTTCAAAGCAAATGGTGATTTTCTTACTACAGAAATTAAAACATCAATTATCTTTTGGAGTTTCACACTAACTGCGCCTCAAATGTGAATAAACTTACTTTTAATTATTCTCTAGCAGAGAAATAATTATCAGCTTACCATCTCCCATAGCAACCTAGACATTTTCTCTTTTTACTTCCTGCACAAGAGGGAAATTATCATGGCTTTGAATAAAACGAAGGTGAATCTGAGTCCTCATTCTGCCTATTAATAGCTTCATGACTTGCAGCAAAATTATTAACCTAACTTTCAGTTTTCTTGTTGATAAAAATGGGGATAATCACACTTTTAAAAATGATACCTTTTAAACTAGTTCTTTCTTTTTATTCATTCACTAAATTACTGAGTGTCTTTTTATGCCCTAAGTGTCATACTAGGTGCTGGGGACAGAGTAGGGAGTAAAATTGGACATTGTTTCCTCTCTAAAGCAGTGCCCAACAGTTATTAAGTTCTTTAAACTCTGGATCACAAATGGAGGTAGGCTACGAAATGAATTAAAACACTTTTAAAATTATGAACAATTTTAATGAAAACTATAAATACTGTTTTAATGAAGGATGGAAAATACATTTCTTCATACATGGTAAGGATGACTCTTGTTTCATGAAACTTGTTTTTGCTTACCTGTGCCTAGGTGTGTACATTTATATGTATTGTATTGTGTTATATATGAGTGTATATGTACTATACATATATGTAATGTATATTGGCTTGTGACATGTAATGTATTTAATATATTTCTTCCCATGGGTGTGGTTAAAACAAAACTTTCAAAGCCAAATTAAATAGTCATTTTAATGAATATAGAAACAGAAATTAAGAAAAGCACTCTAAGGAAAGGAACATGGTTTTATGAGAATATACAATTAAAGTAGTGAGCTACACTGAAGGGTTAGGGAAAGCCTGGTAAGAGGATTTCTGATTTTAATATGAAAGATGAGTAAAAGTTAAGTACAAGTGTGAAGGCTGAGGGATGGAGGGAGAGGAGAGAACAACACAAAGTTAGGAAGTGGAAATGCTTCATCATTATGTGCAAAAAGAACATCATGTGAAAAGACCTCTGGTTCATGTCTTCCTCACATTTTATATAAATCTAGTCATTTTTAACTCCTGTGGTTCCCTGACAGTACCAAGATGATTCATATTTCATCTCATGATATATGCTACTTCTGCTAGTTAAAGTGTGCTTTTCTTATTTTTGTCTTCTGATTAAAGATTTCCTCGCTCTTAAGACTCTGCCCAAGTATCATCTTCTCTATGTTGTCACATCTGACTCCTTTCCTTCAAGAGTTACCTCTATCTTCTTTGTTTCTGTAGTGTAGACTTAAATAACTCTAATTTCTAATGTATTTGCAAGTCAGGCACAGTGGCATCTACCTGTAGTCTCAGCTACTGTAAGTGGCTGAGGCAGGAAAATTACCAGAGCCAGGAGTTTGCGGCTACATGCGAGATCTCATCTCCCCAAACAATATGTATTTGTAGTTATTTGATTATGTGTCTAAGAGAATCTCTAGTACTTGCGGTATAAAAGGTATTAAGTGTATGTTCATTATGTCAAGTATTGGGCACAGCAGGGACCTTACCTAAGAAATGCAAACATTGTAACCTAATCATTTGTACCCTCATATTAATCTGAAATTAAAAAAAAAGTCAAATATTCAAAACGTTCCATAAAGAATGAGTATGGTTCATGGGAATGTGTCTTGAAAACCACCTTCATAAACAAATAATATTTTCTAAGCAAAATGCTATATTTGTTATATATATTTTCTGTTGACCAATGTATATTGTTTTCTTTAAAACTTGAATGAACATTCACTATCTTAAGGGTATTTAGAAAGACTGCTTTAATTCTACATAAATAAAATAGATTATGCTACTATTCCATTTAGCATAGTGCCTAATTCATCACTGATGTTCAATAAATATTTGTTAAAAGAAAAAAGAATTTGGCAACCCAATAGTAGGTGGAAAGTTTATAAACTGTGTATTGTTGCCATTGTGCTGTGTAAATTTTCATAAATAATTCCATCAGTGTGTATCTTTTATCTTTTCATCTAGATTACGAGCTCCTTGGAAATAGAGACTACTTCTTTTATTTCTTTTTTGAAATCGTCTGCTCTTCA